CTCACCGGAAAAACTCGCCAACTCAGCGAGTTAACGCACTGGCCCCCCCCGCTCTTCTCTCTTTCTTCCACGTCATTTATTCCGAACAAATCTCATCATTTCAATCCGATTCACACGGATTTCTTCTTTTACTTCTTATGCTTAAACAAAAAATCTGAGTCCTTGAAATAAAGGTTGGAAAATGTGAGCCTTTGGATTAAATTTTGATCCAAGACTTCCATTTTGTGGTTTTTGTTAAAATAAGGAATTTGGATTTTGTTTGGGGGTCCACACGGATTTCTGAGGATTTTTGATTTTATTGGAGAAGAGGAGAAGAAGCTTCGAGGGCAGATATATATATAGTTGGAGGTTTTTTGGATAGAGTTTGGGGGGAGAGATGCGAGAAAAACTAGGGTTCTTCTCATTTTTAAAAGAAGCTAAGGTTTACAAAGAAACTCTCCTTCTGTTTTCATTTTCAATTTTCAGATTTTTAGACATAGTTTAATATCGAAAAAAAATACAAAAATATAGAAAGAAAGTCAGTATTCTTTCTTTTCCTTTGCTTCGATCACTGCATAAAAGAAAAAACTCAAAAATATATGTTCCGTCTCTTCTTTTCCAATTTCGACTTTTGGTTGCAAAAAATGGAGATGGTTTCCGTTCTGCGCGACTGAAGTTTGGTTATGTGTTCGTCGCAAAATTGAGTCGAGGTGTCGATTCGAGTTTCTGGGGTTCATCTGCGGTCGAATTCTGGTTTATGATTCTTGCTGCTGCTGTCTTGCTTGTTCATTTCCCAACTTCGTTAGAAAGTCAGTTTGTAATCGCATACAAACAAATTCAATCAAAAGCTTTCCATATTCAGGTTCATTTCCTTACTCTTTTGGTTCTGTTTTTTGCTGGTTTTGAACGTTGATTGATTGCGGATGAATTCTCTTCAATGTGAATGTGTTCTGTTCTGTCGTTATGTTAGAAGTATATTTTAACTTCGAATCTGTTTGCCTCCTACTATTGAAGAATTGATTACAAGGCTTCAAGAAATCGAAACAGCTGATCTAATTCTTTGTATAGTTCCCTGAATCGAATAGCTTGTTTGTGAAGCTTTGAAAGTTGTGAGTTAATTGAGAATTCTGTGACTTTCTTGGAATCCTGTTTCGTTTATGTCAATTGTGTGTTCATCAAATTCTGCAGGTGAAATCTCTTACACGGTAAACGAGCGTGAACTATTTGGATCTCTGCTTGTTTTAATTAGTGTGATAGATTAATATCGAAGTATTGGACCTAATCTTGATGAAATTGTATTCCATACATTGTTCTTGTTGGTGTTTTTCTTGATGCCAAGTTCATTAGGTTCAGTTATCTTGAGGCAAGCGTGTTGTTTACTGGCATGCTCTTTTCACTCTCGGCACTAAAATTATCACTTAATTGACTTATGTCCTGAGAAGTTTGGGCTAAGTTGTGAAAATTTTCCTCGCTGCAAACTTCCTTCAAATGTAATTGAAAGAACAACAGCTTTTTTTTTAATTCCCAAAGTTATTTGGTGCAGTAGTTTATGAGCGAGTCAACTGGTGTTCCTTGTTTTGAATAACACTGTCCATGCCTTCCAGTGATCCATATAACACGTGATTCATTGCTCTATCAAATTGACGGATTTATACCTTTTCACATATGTTGGGCGAGAACTTCTGTTGTTTCCATGATTAGACAGAACTAGTTGGCTTGGATTTGTGAGTTATTTTCCCATATAGTTAGTTTGATCATGAGTTGGTAAATTAAGTAGGGTGCATTTTGGGAAAGGGTGTGGTATCCATGTTAGTTATTATTTTTAGATCATCTCAAGTGTCCTGTCAACTCACTTTGTTTATTGGCACTTTTGCATTATGATTTGTTGGGATGTTTCATGAATTTGAGGTTGAATGTGATTCTTGCTTAAATTAAATGTTTTGTTGTGTTCAAGATTTGAAAAATATATAAATGCTTCTCTGTTGTTAGAAGGGCCGTCCTTTGATGTTTAACCCAGGCTTCGTCTCTTTTTGTTTGTTTACTGCCATTTACTTGTTCCTTCATTCCAATTGTTTGATGTTTGTCCCTTTATTGACTTTATCTTTATGAATTATAAGTATTGTACATGGTCGTTGGGTTTGGGAATTTGAGATTAAAAGGGTAATTTGCATTCTTTATGTTTCTTATATCATTTTATTCTCTTACTCCTACTCTAGTCGCTAGAAGCATGTTAGGCCGACCACATTTGGACAGGCAAGCCTTAGGATTTTTATTGGTTTCGAGGCGAGAGGTAGTACCCTTAGTTAAATTTATCCGGGGAATGCCTCGAAGGATTTGTATATACTTTATTCCGGGGTATGCCCCGAAGTATTTGTACTTGGAGATCGATAGCAGAATTTGTAGTATTTTTATTTTATTTTTATTTTCATTTTCATTTTCATTTTATTAGGTGGGGACGACCTCGAGCCTCATGTGTGTTTATTTTATTTTTCCGTGATTTTACCTCAACTTGAATATTTTAAAAGCTGATTAGATCGCGTATGCAACCGTACTAGTTACGGGACTTGGGGAGTGCCTAACACCTTCTCCCCGAGTCAATTGAACCCCCTTACCCGAATCTCTGTTGCGGACTTAATTTGGAGTCCAAAGTGTTTTAAAAGGAAAATCATTTGTAAAAACGGTGACCTGACACACCGAAGCAATGTCAGGTGGCGACTCTGAGTTATTTCCTTTTGAACACAATTTTGTCACTTTTTAATCAAAAACCATTTTCAAGCTTGGCTCAATCTCTTTATTTATTTAGGAGGGTTAGAGGGTTTAGTGAAGTTTGGTTAAAAGGGGGTGTGACATCTCCGGCGACTCTGCTGGGGATACTTGCGGGTTCGAGCTAGTACTTGATTTTATTGGCTTTTAGAATATTTGGTTGAGGTTTTTATGCTTTTTCATTAGCTTTACTTAATTTTTATTATGTTTTTATATCTTGTTATTTCCTAGTTGTTTATGTGTTTACAGTTTTTACTTTATGTATTTACTGCTTTATAACTGTCATCATATGCATTACCCAGACAATTCTTTCTGCAACAAGTCTCGGAGTACGTGTCGCGTGCACGAACTCTTTGTTCAGTCACCCTTGATTTAGGAGGGGGGCCGTCGGACGTATGGAGTGGGTGGAAAGCTTGAGCAGCCACCATCGACCATACGCTCCCCCGAATTGCCTTGTTAGTGAACCCCAAACTTAGGTCAGCCTTTAGGTCATTTTTATTTGCATCATGTCATTTAGACCTAGTAGGGTTTGGTCCCAGGTACCGTGTCCCTTTGTAGGAAGCTTGTCCAAATTTTGTCAAAATGGGCTCGTGGTCCAAAATGGCATTTAATCATCCTATGTGCTAAATGTTGCATCTGTGAGGATAAAAAGGTCATTTGGCGGACCGATGCTTGGGAAAGAAGGGTGAAAATGAAGCAAGTAGGGCCCAGTTATATTTTTCTTTCACTACTTTTTCAAAGAAAAAATAAAAATGAAAAATCCAAAACAGAATAATAAAAAAATTACACTTTCCTATTATTTTCCAAAAAAAATCGAAAAAAAAAGAGAAAAAGAAAATCCAAATTTTTTTTACATTTTTCATCATTTTCCAAAAATTCAAAAAAAAAAAGAGAAAAGAAAATCCAAAAAAAGTTTACATTTTCCATCATTTCTCAAAAAGACAAAAAATATGGTTTTTCCAAATTAGTTGCATTTTTTTTAAAAGGCTTCATCCCATGTTTAATCTTCCCGAACTACGCGAACTTGATTCTCGTCTTCTGGGGAGGGATACGTAGGCAACCCACATAGGGTACGGTCTTCCTAGTAGGTCCTAGGTTCTTGGCTTCCGGGGTCGTAGCCAAATCTTGTATGTATAGCCATAATTGGCCACATTGGCCATTTTTGCAAAATAGAAGTGTTTTATCAAAGTAGTTTGTTATCTCTTGTCTTAGGATCTTGAGTCTACAATAAAGTGTCCTCTTAATTCTAAGGTTCATTTCTGTCAAATTTGCATGTCTAGCCACTTTTGGCCACATCGGCCATTCTTGCAAAGTAGGGTTATTTTCGCAAGAGTGGCTCAATTACCCATGTCTTAGGATCTTGAGTTTATAACTCGGTGTCATGTCACTTTAAGGTCCATCCATGTCGTGTTTGCGTCCCTAGCCACATTTGGCCACATCGGTCATTTTTGCAACAAAAAAAAGGGTCCATTTCCGCAAAGTAATTTTTAAGACCATGATTGTCGGTATTAGAGTCATTTAAGCTTTAAATAGATTATTTCTCATGCATCAGGGGTCAACTTTGTCAAGTTTGCGCTAATAGCCACTTAGGCTATTTTGCAAATATAGCCAAGTTGTGTCCTACATTTGTCCACTAGGAAATGTGTTGGGGTCACGTAGTGTCCCGAGTCGCTAACCATGTTAGCTTCATTCAGGTATGGACCCGCTGATTCGATCCAAAGTGCTGATGGTAGTAAAGATTCCTAGGAAGTTGATCAAGTGGTGGAAAATGTTTTCATCGTTAGAACAACATGAGTTAATGCAGAAATTGGGCACCCTAACTTCCCTTCTTGATATCACACCCCGCCCAGACTTAGTGGAGGCGATTCTGACTTATTGGGATCCACAAAATTTGATTTTCAAATTTGGAGAGTGTGAGATAACTCCTACCTTGGCGGAAATGTCTGGTCTCACTCGTTTAAGCTATATAGGCAAGGACATGATACTTCCCCGAGACCACTCTAGGACAAGATTCCTCAGCGACCTGGGCCTAAAAGATAATAAGCATTTAAAGTGTCTCGAGCAGTCCTGAATATCCTTGGATTATTTGTTTGCTAGATTTGGACCACGGAATAGTTTTGACGTCTTTTGGGATGAGTTCTGCACAACCAAGGCGAAGTGGCAAAGACGTCGCCTCGAAGCTTTTAGCCTTGCTTTGTTGGGATTATTGGTTTTTCCATTAGACGAGAGGCACATTAGCACCCGTCTGCACTCATGAGAAGCAACGTAAAACCGTTATTGTTGTGCCGATGATCTTAGCAGAGTTGTACCGAGCCCTGAGTGAGGTTAGGGGAGGTTTCAGATATTTTGAGGGAAGTAACCTTTTGCTACAGCTATGGATGATGGAGCATTTGCACACCGCTTCCTTACTTTGTCCCATCGACCGTGCCTTGAGGGATCGGGTGGTATGCATCGAATGTAGGATGAAATCTCCTAAGTTTACGTACCCAGTAGGCATCACGGCTTGGATTGAGTTCCTTGGTTTGAGGACAAATGGGAATGTTTTGTGGGCTTACCTTTGGCTACCTTTGGATGATATCTTGGTAGGGTGCCTCATGCAGCCTTTCCTGATGCTGATAGGACTCAAGTCTGTCAGACCATATACTCCCGTTACGGTAATGCGGCAATTGGGCAGAAGACAAGAGGAGCCTCCAACTTTGAATCTTCAGAGGCACATCATAAATTTTAGCAAAAAGGCGGCTGATGAAATCAAGTATGTGCAATACTGGAACAATGCAAAGAGGATGAAGAAAAATCCGTTAGTAGAGGACGTTGGCAGGCCCGAGTGTACTCAGGAGTACTTCATTTGGTTACAGTCCGTCCCGCCAGGGGTCAGCACCCCATTGCCAACACAACTTAGGGGTCGGGCAATTCAGACAGATGATGTTGAGGAGATATCGGACCAAGATCCCTGGGATAAGCTTGAGTTGATAAAGTCTCAGCTAGCAGGATTGGCAGCAAACGTGGAGCAGCATGGCCAGTATTTGTTTAGGGTCGGCCTTCAGGATGCGGGGACACACGCCAGGTCCTTTGTTCCCAGCATCGGTGTTTCTTTACGAGGCATGTTACAGAGTTTGAGCATGACGGACAGCCCAGGATCATCCCAGCCAGGACCGTCGCATTCAATAGCAGCTTGAGGATTCACTCTATTTAGGTGTTTTGAGATTGTCTTATGTTGTCTTTTACTTTCGTGTCTTTTCTAGAAGTACTGAGTCCTTTAGGTAGTGTCAAATTCTATCGTAGTGTAGTTGAGTCTGTCAGGTCTTTCATTATAGCACTTCTTATTATATTTTAATATCGAAAAGTTTTTAAATGAAAAATTCCCAAAAAGATTTTGTTTTTAGTTTATTTTCCGTCACTTTTCCAGAACGACGCTTGGTCTGATTCATGAGGGACATGATACGTAGGCAAACTACATCGTGTTCGATCAAATCATTTTTGGTTCAAAATAAAAAGAGAAAGAAAAAGAAAAGAGTGATAAAAGGTGTTGGAAAATAAAGAGAAGGAAGGATTGAAATGAGCAAATTGGGATGATAACATATGACCCTGCGACCCTCAAAGCCATTTTAGAACCGTTAATCGTTGCTAGGTGTATTGCACGTAATGTGATATTATTATTTGATTATCCTCTGTTATCTCTATATCAGTTTCAGGAAGGTGGTTAGTTTGTTGGCATTCTGGCAAGTCATCCATACAACACCCGATCAAAGCGTCAAAACAGTCATGGCTAGCAAGGAAACAGACACTGGAGTTATAGACCCACCAAGGGAGATTCTTGAGTCGGAATCGGAACTGCAAGAGGAGGTCCGGAGGTTGAAGCATCAGATGGCAGAAATGTATCAAGCCTGGATTAAGGGACACCCTCCACCCTCGTTCCCTACCAACTACACAGAAAACTCTGCTTCCATTCCACCACCCTCTCAATCCCAGATGCCCAATACTATTGATCTTTCCCCACAACACGCACCTGGCTTTACCCCCTACCATAACTACCCCGGCACTTCAGCCCAAACTGTTCATGCTCCGCCAGCCAAAACAACCTCGTACCCTGCTCCGACATCTGCTCCTATTTTTGTACCCCCTCCACAAGCTACCCTCCACCTATCCTCTAGTGAGCCTGCATTCCCCGCTATAGATTCCCACTACTATGCACCGGAGCCCACCTTCAAAGTCCCAGATCCTTACCCTTATACTCCCCAATTTGAGCCTCATGTTGAAACTGACAAACCACCCAAGAACGCAGAGCAAGAAGAGATGTTTAGGAAGGTACAGAGTATGGAGCAATCATTGAGAAATATGCAAGGGTTGGGAAACCAAGTGGGTGTGGCATATAAGGATTTGTGTTTGTTCCCCGATGTCCAATTGCCTGCCGGGTTCAAGATGTCCAAGTTTGACTTGTATGACAGACATGGGGATCCTATAGCTCTTCTGAGAGGTTATTGCAGTAAAATGAGAGGCGTCGGGGGAAAAGACGAATTACTAATGGCATACTTCAGCCAAAGTCTGAGTGGGGCAGCTTTAGAATGGTACACCCGCCAGGACGCCAGTAGGTGGTACACTTAGGACGATATGGCTCAGGCCTTTGCCCGGCAATTTCAGTACAATATAGACATTGTTCTAGACCGCCTATCTCCGACTAAGGTGGAAAAGAAACCCAGTGAAAGCTTTAGATAATATGGGTTCCGATGTAGGGAACAAGCTGCACGAGTCAATCCTCCGATGGAAGAGGACGAGATGGTTAAATACTTTTTTCAAGCCCTGGAGCCCACTTACTATGGCCACTTGATCTCAGCCATTGGTAAGTCTTTCAATGATGTGGTGAAGATGGGTGAAATGGTGGAAGAGGAGCTCAAGTCAAGTAAGATCATGAGTTATTCTGCTATAAAAGCAACCACTCAGGCAATCCAGAGTGGTACCGGAAGTTTGCTAGGCAAGAAGAAGAAGGAAGATGTCGCTATGGTCGTCTCCGGATCATGGTATGGCCAGAGGGGTTCACTTCATCAGTACACCCATCCTCGACCCCGACCTCAAACCTATGCCCAAGCTCCATATGATCCACCTCAACATTACTTTTCCCCGCAAAACCCCCAATACTCAGCCAAGCCATCCCAATACCTTGTTCACCATACCCAATCATATGCTCAACCCCCTCCTTACCCGCAATGGCGTGCTCTAGCTCCACAGAATATCTACCCAGCTCCACAAAATACCTATCCACCCCTACAACCCTATCAAAACCCCACTGGTTCAAATTTTCGATCAAGGCCAGAGTATAGGAGAGAGAGGCAACAACGAAAATAAACTTTTACCCCGCTTGGAGAGTCCTATGCTAGTCTATTTCAAAGGTTAAGGCAGTTGGACGTCTTGAAGCCGATTGAGTCTAAGATACCAAATCCCCCTCCGAAGAACCTCGATTATTCCCTAAGATGAGCCTATTGTTCTGATGCTCCAGGGAATGACATAGAGAAGTGTTGGCACTTGAAACGGGCAATCCAGGAGCTCATTGATACAAACCAAATTGTAGTCCAAAGCCCAGATACGCCAAACATCAACAAAATCCCTTTGCCAGCCCATGCAGAGACGCATATGATTGAAATAGTTCATAAGGATGGGGAGCCCAAGAAGTCTTCTAAGTCCGTCATGATGATTCGGGCCAGTGAAAGCAATTTGGTTAAAGCTCCAGACTCTACCAGAGCAACTCCCTTGACAGTTGAAGGGGTGACAGAGAAGCCAAGCACATTCAGTTCAAAACCACTAGTGTTGGTCATGAAAGGGCTATCGAAAGATATCGGGGCAAGTCTGGAAAGTTCAAAAGTGGTAGTACCAGGGATTCCAAGTGAGCCTGTCATAGTCGTGAAGGGGGATCCTATTACCCCTATCATCATTAGACCAGTAACCCAGCTGCCAGTGGTAGATGCCAAGGCTGTTTCGTGGAATTATAAACAAGTGATAGTGACATACAAAGGAAAAGAAATAGAGGAAGAAGTTAATGAAACTGGAGGATTGACTCGTTCTGGGAGATGTTTCCCCCAGAAGAATTAAGGAAAGCCAAGCCATTCAAGGATAGCCAAATGCCAGTAAAGAAATCGGTTACCGAGGAAGAGGCTGAGGAGTTCCTGAAAAAGATGAAAGTGCAGGATTATTCCATTATGGAGCAGTTAAGGAATACACCAGCTCAGATTTCTCTTTTGTCTTTGTTGATACATTCAGATGAACATCGCAAGGTCTTGATGAAGATTTTGAATGAGGCACATGTTCCTGATAAGATCACAGTGAACCACTTGGAAAAGATAGCTGGCAAGATCTTCGAAGCAAATAGGATCACTTTCTCGGATGATGAACTTCCTATGGAGGGTACAGGACACAAGCGAGCTCTTTATTTCACGGTGAAGTGCGAACATTCTGTTGTCTCAAGGGTTTTGGTTGATAATGTCTCTAGTGCAAATATTTTTCCCTTGTCTACCCTGCAAAAACTGAAGATTGGCACCGAAAGAATCCACCTGAACAATGTATGTGTTTGAGGCTTTGATGGGGGAGGTAAAGATTCTGTTGGAGATATAATGCTCAAATTGTCGATAGGGCCAGTTGAGTTTACCATGGAATTCCAAGTGTTAGATGTGACTGTCTCCTACAATCTGTTGTTGGGCAGGCCTTGGATACATGCTGCTAAGGCAGTCCCATCTTCTCTGCACCAAATGGTGAAGTTTGAATGGGACAGGCAGGAAATAGTTGTGCACGGTGACGAAGACTTGTCAGCTTGTAATGATACAATTGTTCTGTTCATCGAAGCTGAAGATGATAAGGGACCTTGGGTCTATCAGACTTTCGAAATAGTGTCTGTTGAGAAAATTCCTAAGGGAAAATGCATTCCGGGTCCTAAGCTATCCTCCACGTCCGTCATGGTTGCGAATGAAATGTTGAAAAATGGTTTTGTGTCAGGCAAGGGTTTGGGCTCATCTCTGCAGGGTATTGTGCATCCAGTGCGCCCCAGTGGGAATCTTGGTACATTTGGTTTGGGATTCATGCCCATAGAGAAGGACGTGAAAAAGGGTTAAAAATCTGAAACAGAAGGTATGGTCACTCCCCAAGCCTGTCCCACACATCTCTAAGTCTTTTGTCAAGCCAGGGACCGAAAAACCTCCAACCTACTCAATCCCAAAACCTGTGGTCGATGTTGATGAAGAGCTGATTAAGAGGTTCCAAAGTCTGTTCGAAGAGGTCAATATGGTAGAAGTTGGTGAAGGCTCTAGTAAAGCAAATGTGCAGCTCGTTGGCCCAAACGTGAAGCTTAGCAATTGGGAAGCTACTCCTCTCCCCACCAGGAAGGAGTTTTGGTAGTTTGCTTTGTTTTCCTTTCTGTTATCTGGGTTATTCCAGGGCTGTAATCCAGATTTTTAGTTTTTGCTTGTTTTATGTTCAAACCCTGCTATCCTTTTATTTTCAATGAAATGCAATTTTCCATTTTCCATTATTCTTAATAGTGTTTTATTTTGTTCTTTTTTCTTTTGTACAGTTCTTTTTATGCTAGTTGCAGTGACATGACATGCATGAAGAGTTTTCAGCCGAGTCTTAAAAGCCAATCTAATTCTGAAATAACAATCCAAGAAGTAGAATATGATGATGAAATAGAATATGATGAAGAAGCAGTATTTGAGGAAATCAATAAAGAGCTAGAACAATTTGAAGAAAAACCAAAGCCTAATTTGAGTGAGACTAAAGCAGTCAATTTAGGGGACCAGGATGATGTTAGGGAAACCAAGATAAGTGTGGATTTAGAACCGCAAGTTAAGGAGGAAATAATCAAAACATTGTTTGAGTACAAAGATGTCTTTGCATGGTCATATGACGATATGCCGGGCTTGAGCACTGATCTGGTAGTTCATAAATTGCCAACTGATCCAGCATCCCCTCCTATCAAGCAAAAGTTGCGAAAGTTCAAGACTGATATGAGTGTGAAAATCAAAGAAGAAATCAAAAAGCAGCTTACTGCAAAGGTCATTCGAGTCACTCGATACCCCACTTGGTTAGCCTATGTTGTGCCAGTACCAAAGAAGGATGGTAAGACCAGGGTCTGTGTTGATTACCATGATCTTAACAAAGCAAGCCCAAAGGATGATTTTCCATTGCCGAACATTCACATTCTGATCGATAATTGTGCCAAGCACGAGATTGGGTCTTTTGTGGACTGTTACGCAGGATATCACCAGGTTTTGATGGATGAGGAAGACGCAGAAAAGACAACATTCATCACGCCATGGGGAACATACTGTTATCGGGTAATGCCATTTGGTTTGAAGAATGCTGGGGCAACTTACATGAGG